GCAGCGAACTTTTTGCTGCTCCCACAGAAACGGCGCGAGGGGGAAGTGAAGAATGAAATTTCGTGTGTTTCCGTGGGAGGACTGAACTGGAGCGTGGGCCAGCAGCATTTTAGTACCACAGTTAAAATGGTGTTTATTCTAGATAACATTTCAAGTATTACAATTTTCAACGGTAAAGTTTCAAATTTGACAAATCATGTGAGGGCCCTTTTTTTTTTCCCCAATGCGATGTGCTGGCTGTCTTTCTTTCTTTTCTTTTTTTTTTTTTTTAATTTTTGTGATTAAAATACTAATTTGATACCGCAATTTTTAGATTTAGGTTAAAATTATTTTTAAACTTTAAAAAGTACTTTTAAAATTAAAAAAAAAAATCTAATTCAATGCACTTCAAATAAGAATATAGTATGTCCGCAAATATGTGAATATTTGGGACAGTAGAAAATAATTTTTGGTTAGGTTAAAATGTTAATTTGATTTCTTAACTTTTAAATGTATACTAAATTTGTCCTTAAATTTAAAAAAATATCAAAATTATCCCTAAACTTTATTTTTGATACCAAAATAGTTCTAAGTTTAAGACATTAGAATCAACTAAGTCTTTGAACTTTAAAAATAAATATCAATTTAATCCTTAAATAATGATTATAAATATCTTTTAATGTGATTAAAGTTAAAGGACTTGTAAATTTAATATATAAATGGAAATATGTCGTAGTGATAAAATATGATTATTTAACTTTACATGACATTAGTATTTTTAAAAAAGATTGATTTTGTGTTAAAATAACGAATTATGTGACACTTTTGTTAATAGAAATTTTTTTTTTTATTTCAAAAATTAAAGTTTAAGGACAATTTTAATACTTAAAATTTAAGTATAATTTCAATGCAAATCTAAAAATTAAGAGATCAAATTAATATTTTAACCTTTTAATTACATCTTTCCAATTTTACAAAGCTTCTACAGCTTGTGAGACGAACCTATGGGAAACGTTATTGCCCACGAGCTAGCTAGAACACCTCTGTTCATGGAGGGATGATGTATTGGTCGGTAAGGTACTCGATTTTCTTGCAAATCATGTAATTGCTGACAAGGGTCGTCGCCTAAAATTGTATAGCTGAAGTCAATGGAGGCATTTGAATTGATTGGAAAAGGAATTAGAAGGTTTAATTAGTGTAGCTACCATAGAAGTGCACGTAGATGAGAACCAAAAGGTTCTTGACCCCCCACTTGAGAGAGAAAAAAAGGATTCAGAAATGCTAGAATCAAAAGTCAATTAGAAAAGAAGAAAAAGAAAGAAAGCAAAAGGTGCAATTACTTGTGGACAGAAATGAAAGAAGAAAGGTGCAACAATTGAAATTGCTCAACTTGTTGCATTTGAAACATTTGGTAAGTATCTCAGTTGTTTTCACGAATTTGGCCTGAATATCTCGTGCAATTATGAGTTTTTTCTTTTCTTTTCTTTCTTCCTCTTTTTATTTTTATTTTTTCTCAAGGAGCTTCCAATTATACATATTGAACTTTGATTGTTTGGTTGCATAGTTAAATGCATTTTTCCACCCGTAATGATGATGTATTTTGGGTACTTTAACTTTTTAACTTCTATATTTTGTATTTTGACTAATATTTGTGGAAAATAGATATAATCACATAAACTTTATAAGTATATTTGGTTTGATTGTAAAAATTAATTAATAGTTATAATTATCAATTGATAGTTTATAGAATAATTAATATTTATTATTTAATA